TGCAAATTAATTTGATATATCTGAGATTGCGAGATTATGATAAAATATTGTATAATATATTTTCGACAATGCTGTGACAAGAATCAACAAAACCTAGCGCTAGCATAATTTTTTTTTAATGCTTTTTACAGGAGATAGATTAGTCGTGCAACCAAAATTCAGCAGATCGATCAAGGGTTGGAGAAAGCCGGAGCTAGACCAGCATTAAGCAATAAAACCAGCAAATTATTATAGCAAAATTAGGTTATCGCTTTATTAATGATTTTTATCAATTCGGCTGAATTTTGGTTGCGCCCCATTTTGACGTCGATACATAATTTTCTAAACACAAATAATAGTTTTAAATCCAGATCGTAAAGAAATGGTTGTTTAAGAACTTTCCAAACTTTTTTATTTTGTTTTTTTTTATCAAGCATTTCAAATATTATTAAATAATGAATACAAAAATTATATATATTTCATTGTCTACTCTAATAATACTATGATGCAATTTATTTTTAATATATTCCTTCTAAAGTTTGTAATAACAATTATAAGCTTTCTATGCAAATCATATTTTCATACTATTTAATTGTGACCCGTCATCATGAAATGTTAATTACATGATGCTTCGTCTTAAGTGGTGAAGCTTTTAATAAATATACAATTTAACCAAACAAAATATTTCTACGAATGATAATTATATCTTTAGTCTAAAGAATCAGATATTATGTAAACTAAAGAAAACGTTATAGTCAATGATCAGTAACGATGAAAAAAAAAATAATATGTAAAAGAGCATTGAAAATAATTTAAGATACTACCTTGATAATTTTTCGTTCCACATAACGAGAAAGAATTTCTTCATGTATTGTAGACCTACAGCGAAGGGTAAGTTTCAAAGGGGCATGTAGTTTTGTTGCACAGCTTTCAAGGAATGACTCCAAAGATTCAGTGGTATAAACATAGTTTGCTGGTAGATAAATTTCTCGTAAATTTGATGGTAGAGATTTCCCAAGTTTTTTCAACATATTACTGATCTCGCAACGTGTGAGAGAATATTGACTAATATGAAACTCTTCTAGATTTTTATGCTTCTCGAAAAACTCGGGCATTTTTCCAATTTCACTGTCATCAAAATATCCATGATAAGCAATCAAGCGCGGACAACTTACGAGAATAGTTTCAGTGTAAAGATTAAAATTATATTTATCAACAGGTTTGGTCCACACAATCCTAACAGTTGTGAGGTTTCCATGCGTATTATTTATCAATTGAATGATAGAACCAATGTGTACATTCTTGATCGCAAGGAAAAGATTTGTGAGTCGAAAAAAATGCCAATTTACAAATTGTCCAAAAATATCTCTGTGCAAATCATATCCATCTTCTATAAATAAACCTGTGAGATTTGGACTATGCCCGAGAATATCTAGTGGAAAAAAAATTTGTCTAATCATCAACGCAGAAAGATCCTTCCCTTTATTATGTAGGGAATTCTTTATTTTAGGAAGATCCCCTCCATTTTGTTCAAATTCAATTGAAAGATTTTCTAAACGAGTTTGTTGGTCAATAAACGTGGCCAAACCTTCGTTATCATAGCAACAACAAGCGATCGATAGTACTTTAACGAATTTGCATATCTTTGATGCACTTTCTAGAATTTTTGGATCCAGACATCCGTGAAAATCAAAATGACGAAGATTCGCTAGTGCATCTGAAGCTCCAGTAAAACTTGGCATATTAACTATGGGACATATAGGATATTCACCGAAATCATCCAGATGATTAAAAGAAAGCTGTAACAAGTTTGTACATCTATTCATAAATAACTTGCATAATTCTTCGACAAAAATTGGAAGAGGATTCGTTTCGCGATTTACTCTTATAACTTCTGTTGAAGCATGTGCATCCAACCATTTATCTACAGAATTATATAACCATTTATATTGTAGACCTTGTAAGAAGGAAGGATAGTCAAAATTTGAGCGAAATGCTGATTGTGTAATCAATGAGCTAATTCCGAACTTGTCTAAAATAATCCTAGATTCTTCTGGCAAGCATGAAATATAGGTTGACATAAGATGGACATGTCTGTTTCCGTCATTATTTTTCTGATAAATCCAATTAAATGTTCTACGCCAAAGTATTGGAATGGCAACATTACACCAGTATTTATTCACTAATATGATAGAACGAAGGTGAATGAACCCATTTTTCTCTTTGCCAATTTGGCTATAACTGAATTCGTCAAATATTTTGTAGAGGCATTCGGGTGGTAATTTTGAAACCATAATGTGCCGATAGGTGTCACAATAATCAATCTTGCTATAATTCTGACTTATATTCGTCCCTAAACTTAAACGAAGAAAAATTCAATTAATTATAATGCCTCCATAAAAAATTACTATTGTTTCAAAAAACATAATACAGGTCCCTATTTTTTTTTTAATCTTCATATTGCATAAAAAAAAAGGGATCCGTCTCGTGTCTTTGGAAATAACTGCAAAGGACTGAAGCTTTAAGGTTTACACAATAAAAATGACTATTGTCTAAACAATACGAAATAGAATTAATATAATAACTTCATGACGTTTTTGTCCAAAAAATATTAATTCAATACTATTTAATGATTTTCATAAAAAATTTCTTTTAAGTTTTCTGATATTAATACTATTAGCTACTTACTATGAAATTAATATCGATTATATTATATATATATATATAACAATGTGTTTTGCTTCACACTTTCACAGAGGGTGCAATTTGCCAGGAAAGAAAGGATTATCATTTTGCAATTTAAATTTTTTTTTTTTTTTTTTTTATAGCCGTATGTGGTCACATGAAAATTTACAGATTGGCCACATATAATATGATTTGTGATTTCATTGGTGGAGTTTTACTGTAACGGTAGACCTGGCGCAAAATTTTCATTTTGATACTCCTACGCTTACTTTTTTGATACATCTAATATTGCATGTTTTTATAGTAAAAAGGTAGTAAAATTTTTCGGCATGTTTAGAAGTATCAAAAAGTAAGTGCACGAGTATCAAAATGAAAGTTTTGCAGGCCTGGCGTCCAAATTGTCGTCGAGTGACACATGATTAGATCATTTTTATGGAGATATTGAGTAGTTATTCAAAATAATTCACATTATATTAATATCAAAAACCCAAGTTTCTAGGATTACAACATTCAAAACATCAGATCCTTGTACCTGGATCATCGTCTTTATCGGTATCATTAGCAGCCTTTCAAGAAAAGGCGCATAATGATCATTGGATGCGAAATTAATTATGCAAGAACCAGATTTAACGTTAAGTAACGAGTTCGAATATATTCGAATAAATTGGATTAATCGAGTAAAGATTTTTTATTCTATTACAGTATTTCAAGAGCTAAACCACTCTCCCCTGTAAAATGATTTATCGGCTTATAAGGATATTCCTGTGTTCATATTGTATTTATTATGTGTAATCTTGTAATGTAGTAATTGTTCCTATTGCAATCTTACAATGAATAGTGTTACTTATCCGCACTAGAGATATCCACACGATGCAAAAAATGTAAAATACGAGAAAGGTCGAAACAACAGATTCTGAGATAAAGTCGACCATTTGGCTAAGCCTGATAAATAATGATCGTTATATCTAGCAACACGATGAATTTATTCGATTAAAAACACTAGACATGAAACCACCCGTGGTCTTCTGTTACTATGCATTTTTTAGATTTAACTATATAGCATGAATTTAGGTATTGTTATTTTGTATTAATGTTTGTTTAGCTATTTTATAAAAATATAAATTTTAAATAAAGGATAATATATTTAAAAAAAGAATAAACCTCTATTATGAACGACCACGGGCCGCAAATTTTATATGACCTAATATTCAAAATATTACTTTATTTGCACACATGTATTCGTATATTTGATTTATAGGATCAGATACTAAAAATCGGTAGAACGCTTTCCATTTCATTGTAGAGTGTAACAATATCCCCATTCGGAGATACAGTCAAAACCCATTTTGCTATGCATTTCCAGGTTAAAAGTATGATATTGTCTTCGTCAACCATAACATGGTTTGGCTTTTCAGCCTTTCCCTTAATAAAAGATTCATTATAGAATTTAATAGATTTATCATATTAGTGTCAATCAGTGTTGGCACTGGACATATATCCAACAATTTTTTATGCTATTGGACTGGACTGGACATTAGACATAATACTTGGACATACATCCAGTCCAATATATCCAATGATTTCAAAACGTTAATAGTTACTATATAGTAAATGCAAATTTTATTAATGAAGTCGATATTGGGTTTTAAGTAGTTATTTGGAGGTCAAAATACATGTATTCTGAAAGTATAACTTGGAGAACTTTTATTAATACATTTCTATTTTTTACTTCTCATGAACAAAATTTAAATGCTAAACTGTTTATAAAACATAAAAAATGAGAATGAATTAATAGAAAGCTATCCATTTTATATGAAACTTTTATGATATATGTAGTTTGATCTTTCGAACAACTTAAAGATTCAATGTCGATTTCTTTAGTAAAATTTGGACTCTACTATATGAGTGCTGCCAAGAGAAAACCTGTCATCGGGCTTTCAATTATATTTTGTGTCTAGTTTGTTCCCTAAGTGCCATCTAGAAAAATCTATCATCAGCATTTCAATTATATTTTGTGACGATTCATCACAAAATATAATTGAAATGCCGATAACAGATTTTTCATAGATGGTACTTAGGCCAGACCAATTTGATTTTCTGTTTAACATAACTCCCACCCCTCAATTTTTCAAGAAACCAATATATATAATATTAAATAATCCTCTATATTTCAAAAACTATATAAGTCAATACACATCAAATTAACCAATAAAATTGCAGCATTAATTTGTATTTAATAGTTAGAGCAAAGATATTTATTTTTAATACTATTAATTATTTGTATTTTGTAAAATAAAAATATATTTAAAAATTAAAACTTTATTATATAATTACTTGTTTAATTTTTTAAATATAAAATAGTATCCCTTAAATTGTAACACAGGCAAATTTGAAGGGTGTGGCAACTTAGTAAAGTAGTGAAGTTGTCGCACCCCCAAGCAGCATGTCCAGAGTTCGAATCCCACTGTTGACGAAATTCGAATATTCTGTTGTGGAACGGTTACTGTTTCTCATCGATCGGTTGGATTTAGGATTTGTAACCAAGGTTGTACCAGATTTCTGGAAGGATTATTGGATTCTGATAAACTATGTGAAACCATGGAACCGGAGAGATGGATACCCGCTTGGCAAGACCCGAGTAGAAAAGTAGCACAAACCTTCGACGGTACTATGTAAAAGAGGTATTATTAGAAAAAACCAGAAAACTGAACGGGACCGAGATGTATGGCAAAAGCATCCTACCAACCAGGCTGCCGAGGCTGAAAAAAAAGGATCCGCTTAATTTGCGGTTACCAGAAGATCGGTAACTTTTAGGTGAAAGTCCCTCCTGAGCCATCTGGATTGGTAGTTCAGACTAGCCAGGTCAAACTGGAAAAACTAAATAGACGAAGTGTTTAAGAAAGCACTTCTACCAACCAGGTCACCGGAACCGGAGAAAAAGGATCTGTTTAATTGCAAATACCAGGGACCAGTAACTTTTGGGTGAAAGTCCCTCCTGAGCCATCTGGATTGGTAGTTTGAGATTCAGAAAGTACTTCTAATAGTCTGTAAAAGTGGGTACTGGGGTTTGGGTGAACTCTACAAGGGCAGAAGTAGATAATGGTAGTGGCCTTGGCTCGCAAGTACTTGTCCTCAAACTCGGCGTAAGTTACTGAAGTTTAGGTTGGCCAGATTGTAGGTACAGAAAGCTCTAGCAGGTTTACTTCGAGGACAAAGGATTCACTGGTTGAGCCTGCTTTAAAGTTCTAAGTTGGGGTTCTTAAGGGTATATCCTAAATTCAGTTATATGAAAAGGTTGACCCATATACGATGCAGAGAGTTTAAATAGGTAACTTCCTAGTTGGGTTGCAGGTATAGCATCTAGTGTAGAACTTAGTAATAAGTAGACTACTTAAATAGGCAACCAAAAGTTGTATATATGGCTAGTATGTACTTTCCAAAAATATATATACTATATGGACATCGAAAGGGGCTTAGTATACAGTAAAGTTAATCAATAACTGAATAAAGAGACCTGACCAAGAGATCACATTTAACATTAAAAAAAAAAACACAGGCAAATTTGCTTGCATTTATTTTTTTAAACTTTAATTTTTTAATAAAATTTTAAATATTCATTTTAGCAATATATTTTCTAAGCAAAATATATTTTTA